GCTGTTAGACTGCTGCTGCTTTAAAAATTTGATGTAAATATAAAGTGATGAACAAAGGACGTAAATTGGAGTGGATGTCATTAGTCTTAGTTCAGTAACAGAACAAAACCATTGTTTAGTGTGTGTGTATGTGTGTGTGCATGGCAGCATCCTGGTGTGTGAGTAATCTTAGCGCAGCCCCTGACTGGAGGCTCATTTCTAATGACCGCCATCCCTCAGCCGCCCCACCACTCCTCACTAGAGAGACGGCGTGATGCAATAAACACTCGCTCTCTTCAAGCATGTCATTTGCCCCCAGCTACTTGTCGTCTTGCTTTAAAAATAGAATGTTCCTTGAGCTGATTTTGTGCAGCTGTGTTGATGTAAAGACCCGGTTTGACGCTAGTGAACCACAGCTGTCTAGAAATTCAGCTTTAATTTGAATACCTTTTTTTTTTTTTTTACTATACAAGGGTTATTTCAGTTTAGAAGTTTATGATTAGTCATAGATCCTATTACATTCAGAAGTGAGACACTGATCACTACAAGCTGTCCTGTTTATTTTTTTTTAATGCTGCATGAGTAACGGTAGGGAGTCAACATGCCATGTCAAACAGCTAGCCTACATGTGTTTCCTGGACCACGACATGCTATACTTCATCTTTATTTTGAACAACATTTTGCCATTCTGGTATAATAATGATATTTCCAGTTGCAACTGCATGTAAACTGTGACTACAAAGAGTATTAGTACTTTAAAAATGTAGTTGAACTTAAGACTAAAAAGTGACTGAAATGATGAAAAACCTGAAATGATGCAGTACCTAAAATACACACTATAGGGAAGACTGGGGCTAGTTGTCACAAGAGTTGTACAGTATCTAATCATGATTTTGAATTTGATAATGTATTATTTTTTAGCAGTGTTTTTGTTTGTTAGTTTCAAATATCTAATTTAAAACTATCAATCAATTTTGTGTATTAATATTCCATCATATTTTACGATCATATGATAAAAAAAAAAATCACACTGACATACATTCACACAACTATACAGTAAAATGGTAGATTTTATATTATTATAAAGTTGTAATTTTTTTATAAAAGTTTTGTATTATTTTATAAAAGTTGGGTCAGGACAAGTTTTTATACGTTTTATATTTTATTTTATAAAATGTATTACAAAATTACAACATTTGTACATTACTTTTTACATGTTTACTGCTTTTTTTATTAAATAGCCTATAATTGGCTGTTTAATGACAGCATGGCTCTTTGGGAGTTCAATTAGTTTTTGGGGCTTTTGTTTTTCTTCTTATGGGGAAAGATGTAAATGTCAGTAAAAAAAAAAACTGTATTTATGACAAAAAATAAATCCAACTTAAGACATTTTTGCTGTACTGGTCTCCCTCCATCCTCTATTTAAAATTAAACTTGCAGACTTGACATTAGAAATTAAAAGGTTCATACTATGTATTTGTCATATCTTCTCCAATTCACGTAACATTTGTAGTGGTGTGATAAAATATCTTCCCATTTTCACAGGACAGGTTAACGCTGTGCAAATCGTTTTAACAACCACTTTCAGTTGCCATTTTGCTTTGCCATACTTGTGGCTACAGTTGCCTTTAACAGCTCTAGTATTGTGCTTTTCTGGATGTTATTGTTTTATTTTTCAGTGTTGCCTGTAGGGTTCAGAGTGCTGGGTAATCTGCAGCTGTGTGTGAATAGTAGACTTGGGGGTAAGAGCTCCAGCATGTACCAGCTGCCAGATGGCTCCATCAGCAGACACATACACACACACACACACACACCGTAAAAGACCATAGAAAGCCTCTCCAAACCCGTACCACTGAGTAATCATACACACAGTCATTTTTATCCTCACCACAAGGCCAGCACACACAGAGCTGCAGGTGTGAAATCTGTTCTGGGTCCTCTCACAATCTGTGTTAGTTGTTTAAAGATTATTTGCCCACAAGACAGACGAAAAAAATTAATTTTTCGGTAAAATCATGGAGGGTGGATATGTTAAACAAATAGTAAAATGATAATTCCGACATTTACTCATGTCATTCCAAACCTGTATGACGGTTTTTTTTTTCTTTTTCTGTGGAACACAAAATAACAATTTTGAAGAATGTTCAAGCAGCTCTTTTCCATAAAGACCACAGGCTGTCAAACTCCAAAAAGGACAAAATATATTTAAAAAGCACCATTAAAATAATCTGTGCCATTGTCCTATAGTTTGTTTTTAACCTTTTTTGGAGTTTGACATTCACTAAGAATTGTGGTTGTACATAAAAATCTGAAGAATGTGTCTTTGTGTGCTTAAGAGAAAAAAAAAACAGGTTTGAAACAGTATGAGGGTATTTTTATGACAATTTTTTTTATTGTTGTTTAAAAATGCTAATGCTCTTATTCACCCACTCAAATGAGGGAATCATGCCATGATTGTTCAGTAACTCTTTTCGGCACTTTGCTTCCTGTAGTTAACAGATTGCACTCACTCCATCCTCGCCGAAGTTGCCGTGGTGCTCTGTAGTCTCCAGAAGAAGCAGACGAGCCGAATAAGAGCACATATGGCTGGAAACAAAGCTCCGCGCAGCAGCCTCGATTCACAGCAAGATGTTGCGAGATACCTGGGAGTGCATCTGACCTTTGTTAATTCACGTTAACAGAAGAAACGCTTGAGGAGATGCACCGGGAGGTGTACTTGTTTTAATACGTCGGAACAATGATAGCATCTGCCTTGTGGGCTTTGTGTTGTTTACCCACAACCCAGTTAGTCTGTGATCTTGAGTTTTAATTTCCACAGCAAAGAGGAAACAGGAGATCACACGTTCACGTTAAGGCGAATTTGTTTTTATTTTATTTCTTTTCTTTTGGTTCTCTCTCTTTTTTTTTAGAAAAAAATCTAGTCTACTATAAGACAATTGGAAAAAAAGGAAAGCCCCGAGAAAAGGCAAGATTAAATTATAGCAAGAGCACTGGCATACCTTTACCCAAAAACAACAGAGTGTTAAAGCCTGTGGTCAACATATATTTCAAACAAGACCAGGTCTGAAAATTACATGGTGGCCAGAAGGACATTTTTCTTCTATTATGATGAGGTCACTGATTGTCTTACTGACGTAATATTGCATAATACAAGGTGTAGCCATGATTGTCGGAGCAGCACCAGAGTTCTGGTGTTAGTCAAACAGAATTAGAGGCAGAAGCCTGCTGCCCATGATCAGCGTCTGGTCATCTTCTGAGAGTCCAGTCCACATTTACCCTCAACAACTTCAGTCACTTCTTCCAATTTAGCACAAATTTAGTTTCGTTTCAACATGTCTCCAGCATCCACTCTGTTTACTTGTGGAGATGCCGCTATTAAGAGACTGTGCTCTAGATTCATTGGATATAAATGAATAGAAGGCGAGGAAGGAACGGAGGCCATGGACAGCTGACTACATCAACTACAAATAAATACATTTTTAAAATCTACCTAAATGTCACAGACCACACCAGCTGTGATCTGAAAAACAGTCGTGTAAGGCATCAGTCGAACGATATGTGGTCGATACTAGGTAAAAGTATGACAGCGTAAAGGCAGAAACCAAAGGACATAGCATTTATAGCACATACGCTCTGTAAAAATGGCTTTAAACACATCACAGTGAATAAGAACAGCATGATAGCTCAATCTCATAAAGCTACATTCAGATCCCCTTATATTGAAAAATAGATAAAATATGAAAGGTGTGCGGATTACATGGAATGCTTTAAATTGGAAAAATACAGCAATACACACACATACTGGAGTCTTATGGGTAAAACAGCCCTACATACTGCATATTTTCCCTCATTTTTGCAGCTATTAAGAGACTGTGCTCTAGATTCATTGGATATAAATGAATAGAAGGCGAGGAAGGAACGGAGGCCATGGACAGCTGACTACATCAACTACAAATAAATACATTTTTAAAATCTACCTAAATGTCACAGACCACACCAGCTGTGATCTGAAAAACAGTCGTGTAAGGCATCAGTCGAACGATATGTGGTCGATACTAGGTAAAAGTATGACAGCGTAAAGGCAGAAACCAAAGGACATAGCATTTATAGCACATACGCTCTGTAAAAATGGCTTTAAACACATCACAGTGAATAAGAACAGCATGATAGCTCAATCTCATAAAGCTACATTCAGATCCCCTTATATTGAAAAATAGATAAAATATGAAAGGTGTGCGGATTACATGGAATGCTTTAAATTGGAAAAATACAGCAATACACACACATACTGGAGTCTTATGGGTAAAACAGCCCTACATACTGCATATTTTCCCTCATTTTTGCATTTGTTTAAAAAAGACTTTTTATACAGAATTTAGAAATTCAGAAAATAAATAAATTTGTGGCCATAAATTGAATCTTAGTTGTATATTATATATTTATATATACTGCGTTCCATTTCATATGAACAAGATTATAATGGGGAAATACTTTGCAGATGATTTTGGAATCTGTCACTATGTTCTCTAGTCTGTTAGTATATACAAACAAAGTCTACTAGAACTGTCTCTTTGGACAGGCAATGCCCATTTCCATAAAAGCGCAGTGCTTTTAAATTTGTGTGTGATGAAAAATAATAACCTCTTTAGTTCTGATGGTATGAGGGGGATGAGATAATGTCATAATTCTGTATTAAAAACAGAGTGAATCATACAATCTTCCCCTTCAAAACATCACTTCCAAAACAAAGCATTAACCACCTAGGCACTCTTTCAGTCTTATTCCAATAGGCATCCTTTTGAAGTTCACTAAGATAGCTACATAGGAAAAAACAAAACAAATGTTTCTCCATATTGTATGTCCTAAGCAACTGAGTGTGTGTGTGTGTGTTTAACCCTAAAGTCAATGGTGTGTTGTTGGTTTCTTTTTGGCTTCCCACCAACTCCTCCTTTGGTCCCTCTGCTGGATAAAGTCTTTGGATTTGTCTATGGAGATGAGAAGAGATAGAAACATCTCAACTGGCACATATGGTGGGAATATCCCTGGTTGGAGAATGGCTGCTCTCCTTTTGGGAGTTTGGGAGTGACGGAGAGCAAACCAAAGAGCTTTCATCATGACATCATGGTCGGTATCCCTCAGAGTTCGAATTTAGGCACAATATCACAATAACTTTGAGTAAACAACAGTCTTGGGGGTCAACAGCCATTCTAAACAATCAAGAGCAATAAATTACAGATAATCTGCTCCACTGAAAAAATCCTGTATTTTTTTTTTCACATGTTGGTCGATTGTGTCCACATTCCCCTGCTTTGGCCACTAGTTTAGGTCTCAGCCGGTTCCGCCTTGACCTGGATGAAGTGGGATGCGGGTATCTGCATGGTGCCCGGCAATTCCTGCAGACCTTGAGAGCCTTCCAACAGCTCTTTAGCTTCAGGCTGTGGATGCAGAGCCACTTCTCCTCTCACTTCTAGCTCCTCCACAGGGGTCAGGCCCTCACTAGGGCTGCTGGCCAGCTGCAAGCCCACGCCCGAATGTCCGTTGAGGGTCTGACCCAGCTCCTGACCTGCATTGTTGATGATCACAGTTCTGTAGCTCAGCTCTGCCACTCCTTCCTCGAGGTCATCTTTGCCGTACGAGGCCATGCTAGGGTTGCTGTTGACCAGAGACTGGAGGTACTGCGGGTCTAGGATCTCCTCCTTCACCTGCAGGCCTTGAAGTTCACTGGGCTTCAGGACAGTGGCGATGACCGATCCGGGCTGCTGGGCCACGACGGGCTGCCCGTTGGCATTGAGGGTGACCAGGCGGGTGATGCCATTAAGAGATCCGGCTTGCTGTGGTGTGGTGCTGATGACCCCTCCACTGGATGAGCCCAGAGTGGACACGAGGAGCTGCTGGGTCTGGATGCTGTCTGTGGTCAGAGAGGCGGTCTGGATGGTGAGCACATCTTTACTGCCAGGGCTGGTGGAAGGCACAGTGTGGAGAATGACCCGAGGCGGCGAGGCACGAGTGGAGGAATCCCCATTGGTCAGAACAGAGGACAGCGGCAGGGTCTGCAGGGTGACTGGACCTCCTCCTTGAGCTCCTGACGTTAGGACCATGGGAAGAGAGCCAGGCATATGTATAGTCCTGAGAGAGATAGAGGGGCATGGGGTTATAAGCAAGAAAACTTCCAGTATAAGGAGAAGAAAAAAATATATGGCAGCCAGCTGTCTTTCTGATAAACTGTGGAACACGCAAAATACAACTTTTTTAAGTTGAAGAAGCTAAACTTATGATACTATTGTTGTTAGGTTTTATTTCTGATTTAAAATATATTACAGATTACAGACAAACAAAATTGATATTGTGGCCACAAATTAGGAACATGTTCCGACAGAATATTAATTTGTGGCTATGTTGTACTAATTTTGTTCTTGTTTTAGCAAAATTGTGGCCACATTGCACTACTTCATTTCCTTGTTTTAATTTAATTAAATTGTGGCCATGTTGTACTAATTTGTTTCCTTGTTTTAGTTAAATTGTGGCCAAATTTTACTACTTTGCTCCCTTGTTTTAATTCAGTTAAATCATGGCCACTTTATACAACTACAATTCCTTTTTTTAGATAAATCGTGGACGAGTTATACTAATTTGTTCCCTTGTTTTAATTTTGTTAAATCGTGGTCACATTATACCATAATTTAACTAAAACGAGACAAATTCTTAATTTGAGGCCACAATATTTTTCCCCATGCCATTTACAGGGCTCTGTAATTTGTGTTACTGCCTAAGAAAAGTGTTACAAATGGCTCATTTATAAGGTCCATTTTGGTTATGATGCAGCTGCCTAAGAATGTAGCTACCTATGTAGGCAGCAAAGACAACCGATTTTGGAAAATAGCTTGTGTTTCAACAGTGGTTTTAAATTTGCTTGTGTGTGTGTTTGTGTGTGGCTGTCTGTGTACGTAAAACGCCCCTCACCTTACGGAGTGTGTAGATGCTGGGACAGCAGCACCTTGATTTGGCTGAAGAACGTGGATGGTCTGCACCAGCTGTTCTGCTTGTTTTCCATTGCTGTTCAGCCCAGGACTCATCTCTCTCTTCACTGACTTCACCTGTGTGCTCTTCCCCTGCGCACGTGATGAACCGCGGCCCACTGCCCGTCCGTGAGGAGCGGACCGTTGCCCTCCGTAGCCAGAACTGGCGTCGTCCCCTTGGCTATCATCCTCGTCAATAATGACCAGATCTGAGGGCATCTCCTTAAACTGGTAAACAAGCCTCTGTCCTTCAACCTTGGCCAGTATACCCCTCTGGTAATAGTACCTAAAAGAGAGCGAGAGGAAGGGGGAGGTCAGGAAAAGCAATTCCTCTGGCATGATTGGTCCCTCTGGGTGAAGTGTTTGTAACCATTGGCTCACCTGAGTGCTCTGCCCATGGTTTCGTAGTTCATATCAGGCTTGTTTTTGTGCTTGCCCCACAGCTTGGAGACAGCCTTGGAGTCCACCAGTTTAAAAATGCCCTTCTCTCTCTGCGTCCATTTGATGTATTTGGGACAGGTGTTTTTGTCTTGCAGCAAGGCCAGGAGGAACTCCCACAGGTAGATAGTATTACCTACAAAAATATGGGGCTTTTATATTCCTCTGTCAACTCATTAAAAGTTTAGACTTATAAAAAGCTTAAACACCTTTCATATTTCACACGTGATTCCACAGGTCTTACTTAACAAGCCGAATTGGCAGAGGTGCAATTATTGTATTCTTTCTCATAACCTTAATAAATCAATTCTCCCTTCATGGTAGCCCTACACCGGACTGGAAATTAATTAGAGGGGCCTGGCACTAGATTATTCTTGTTTGTCGTGCGCTTTGGCCAGAAGTGGTTAAAAACAGCTACCCCGGCAATGTGAGCTGGAGAGAACAGACCGGCGTGTCAAGGTGATGTATATGTATGCGGCCGGCCTCCACTCTGAGCTGGGAACGGGACGCATGCATAAGGGGCCTCTATCAGGACAGCATCGATGTGCCCTCCAGCCCGCTATCACTTTTAGTTCCCTCACAAACGCAGCACTTTGAGAGCACCTCATCAATTAAGCAGCCGCAGCACTGCCAGCAAAGCCCCGGTAAGAGCAACTCATGATGCATGCGGGAGACAGAAGCGATAGTTTCCAACTTTTTCTCCTTTACTACCGTGCACCGATCCGAAGTCGTGCTTACCTTTGCCCTCTTTGCTCTTCTTCTTCAAAGGGAGAGTTGGATTGGTGATGGGGGAGCAGGGCCGCACTGGTCTTGGTTTGCGCACTGCAGGATGATTGCAGGAAAATAAATACACATAAACATGAATTAAATTGATTATATTTTAAAATTAAATTTAAAAAAGTATATAAATAAAAAACCTGATGTATTTGGTTATCTTTTGAACATTTTTACATTCTCTTGTCTCATCTTTAGTTTTTAGTTTTTAATATAATGCAGGGAAAAATTGCATTGAAAGAAAGAAATACATATATATATATATATATATATATATATATATAAATATTCAAATAGAAAACCATTATTTATACTGTATTTTGAATATTTGGCAATATTACTGTTTTTACTGTATATGTATAAATATAACCTTGATGAGCAGAAGAGACTTGAACTCTTACCAACATCAATCTTTTTAACAGTGCATATACTGCATATAAACAGTGTTGTGGATTGTTTCAGGTGCAAAGAGTACTTTTTTCCCCATTTTCATGAGAAAGGTTTTCAAAAAAACATCATGCTGCTTATAATTGTGATCACTTATTGGACTCACCAGAAAGCCCCACATCTCCCATCATGTTCTAAAAAAAAAAAAAAAAAAAACACTAAGGTGTACACTGCCTTCTACTGGAGGATAATGGTACCTTTGCTTTTCCTGGCAGGCTTGGAAGGGTTCTTTTGAGGGATCTCATCCAAAGAGGACGTCTCCTCATCAAGGGAAACATCCATGCAGCCATTTGAGAGCTGCTCTGGACGCAGGGAAATGTAGGTAAGGTCTGATTCCAGCATATTCCCGTATGTGTGAACTACAGAAGGGTAGAGGTCAAGTATGAGTATGTGTTTATAATACTGTTTGCTTAAACACAGACAGAACTGAAATGAGAAATGGTATCAGTATGTGCTAACTGACTGAAATATACTGTGTTTTTTAAGAAGTCTCCCCACAAACATTTCTAAAAAGAAAAAACAGCACCATGTAAACAGACAGTGAGTCATCACATACTCATGCGTTTCTCATCCAGGATATTATTGGGAGATTCCATGTTCAGTAGGGCCTCAGCCGCCTCGATGGTCTCCATATTGTCCTCTCCACCTGAGACCTGGGTCTCTACTATGGACAGAATATATATTAATCAAGTGACAAACACTAAGATTTCACTATCATGGCTTTCATTTTAAATGTGCTTGGCAGTAGTTTTCTGGGATATTTAAATAACAAGCCCCACATCTCCCATCATGTTCTCTTCCACCACATCCTGAATGGCATCCACCATGATGCCATTAGTCACCTCATCTGCCTCCAGTCCAGAGTACACCTGCATGAGGTCGGCAGCGGGCACCTGTTCCACGATCACTGCTGGGAAAACTGAAGGGTCGTCCAGCTGTGGGAGAACAAACAGAGAGATAAATGTGCCATTGATCTAAAATCAACCGTCGTCTGATGCTTTCAGCGGAAAGGCAGTAAAGTACACCATAATTGCTTTAAAACACATAAATTTGCCCCTTCCCTGCAGATGAAAGCTTCTAATCCATAATCGTCCAGGTTACTTATACTCACAGAGGCTGCAGCTAATGGCCCATTCATAATGGCTTTAACCTGAGCCAGTTCAGTCACTTGGTTGGACTCTTACTATGCGTCAGAATAACAATAAGGCCAGAGACTAGCCTGTGCGGTATCATGTGAGTAAATGACGTGAATGCAAACACACCACAGTTCCAGTAAGGTTCTTATACACATGACCCTGTTTGCTCCTAGGGTCATGAGCTTCATGCCAAAAACACCATTTCAGACTTCCTTATTTCCACCAGCATTCCTAAGCAAGGGTGGAGATCACATGGGGGGAAAGAGGAAATAGTTGGTACTGGACTATAAAGCCACAAGAGACCGTTCCTCATCCCCCACCACAGTCAACACAGCCCAAATATACCAAAATACGTCTTTCTTCCACTCTTTATGTTTTCCTACTCTTATAGATAGTCTAGATGAATCGGGTTTATTAGTAAGAGCAATTTGAAGAAAAAAAAACACAATCCATTTCCAGGGAAAACTGGTGTTGAAGATAGCATCACTGAATGAGTGACGCTCTGTCTGTGTGTGTGTGTGTGTGTGTGTGTGTGTGTGTGTGTGTCCAACTGAATCTCATTAACTGGATAGCAGCTCTCATTATGCCTTTGGCAGACGATATGTGCAAACAAGGCAAAACGTCAGAATATGAGTGAACAGAGTTTGACAGAGCGGGAATAATTCAAGAAAAACTGCAGTCTGATCGAAGTCTAGTGACCTTTATTCTGACACTTGTTAGAGGACCGCTTAAATTATGCAACTGTTCATTGTGAGCTTGACAAGTGACTTTCCTCGGGGACTACATTTCATGATTTACTCTGCCATTTTTAAAAATGACTGAGAAGACGTGCACGCATGCGTCTGTTGTGTTGTGTAACCACTAGATGGCAGCAGAATGCAGTTTATCACCTTTCCAGTTTTGCAATTGTGAACAAAACAAGAACAATATGCAAAGCACGTTCTTGGCCAAAGAAAATAATCTCACATAGCAACCAAAAAAATAATAATAATAATAATAATACTTAACAATAACTGGTCAGTGTAGTCCAGTACTTCAGGAATGCTTGAAATACTGTCTCCTTACAAACAAGATTGTGAAACACGTAAGCTATCTTACATCTTCCTTTGGCAGGATTTTCTGTTTTTGTTCCATCATCCTTGGACTATTTGCTGTTGTTATGGCATTTTCCCCAGAGACTCGATAGGTTCGGATTTTCAAATCTCAGTTCAAGGCCAGAATAATTCATTCATTACAGTTTAACACAAACTCTAAACTACTTGAAACAGATTCAATGGCGACACTTGAATTTAGCTACTGTTTAATTTGGACATAAACTACGGTTTGAACATTTAGGTCTGTAAGATTTTTTAAAATGTTTTTGAAAGGAGTCTCTTGTTCACCAATGCTGCATTTATTTGATCAAATACAATAAAACAGTAATGTTGCAAAATATTGTTACAATTTAAAATAACTGTTTTCCGTTTACTGGCTATCTGCAAGATAGAGCAAGATAGTTTATAAAATGTAATTTATTCCTGTGATGGCAAAACTGAACTTTCATCAGCCATTACTCCAGTCTTCAGTGTCACATGATCCTTCAGAAATCATTCTAATATGCTGATTTGCTGCTCAAGAAACATTTAATATCATCAATGTTGATAACAGTTGTGCATTCATTGTGCAACATTGTTGTGCAACATTTTTGTACTTTGTTACTTTTGATCAATTTAATGTATCCTTGCGCAATAAAAGTGTTAATTTCTTTCAAATAAATAAATAAATCTTACTGACCCCAAACTTTTAAATGGTTTATACACCAAATAAACTTTTGATTTTAGCATGTCGTTTATCAGTTTACATAGAGAAGAGTTTTAACTAGGCTAGACAGACACTCTGTGTATCCCACAAGCCCTGACTGCTTAGTAAGCAGGACACTTAGTCTTGCTCTGCATTTGTCCACGTCCTCCCTCTCATCCTGCTTTACTGGGGAACTACAGAAGTCAGATATCAGGATTATGCAAAAAAACGTTGGTGATCGGTTTACATAGCCTCTCTTATACTGCCTGACAAGTAAATGCAAAATAGCAGAACATGCCTATATGAGTCTATACAAAGTTGAAATTCAGAAGTTATTGCATAAAATCCATGCTATTTGTCAACAGACCTATTTATGCATTTATAAGCATGGCATAAAATCAGCTAAATAGCTCTGCCCTAATAAATGTAAGATTCCAGTGTTAATACAGCTCTTCATATGCCAATATCTCAATCTTGCACATTAGTAAAAAGAGTAAAACTTTTCTGTTTTTAAAACCCAAAGACTGCCATAAAGCTGTAACATCCTTTTTTTCACAATAAATCAACCACATTTCTAAAAGGGAAACATCAGATAAAGATCAGTCATTTGCATAGTTGAGTTCCGTGTTCCTAAGCTCGATAGCATGGGGTGTGTTCCACAGTTACACTCTCTTCTGCTTTACCTGATGCCAGACGTGATGCTAACCCACTGATGCTATACAAGACCCTCACTTGCAATGTCGGAGACAAGCTTTTGGATGATTCTCAAACACTGTGTACTACTAAGCAGGCGTCTTGCAACAGGTTTTCAGCAATAAGTAATTAATCTGTTGACCACTAAAGCTGCACAATGTCACACCAATGCAGCCATAGGACATGTATGATGTGGAGAGAGGAGAAAAGAGAAGTTATGCAAGCCTGGCTTACATAAAAGGTGATTTAATATACTGTGGATGCATTAATACAGTCTGTGATAACATGCATGTAAAAATGCTTTAATACAAACAAAAAAAAAGCATTTGTTGCATAAACGTGGGCACACAAAGAAACACTGGCAGCCAAACTTCATGTAAGTGGATTGAAGAAATTTTAAGATCAATGTCTGACATACACTACCATTCAAAATTAGCTCACCATTTGCTCACCAAGGCTGCAGTTATTTGATAAAAATGCAGTAAAAACAGTAATGTGCTGATTTGGTGTTCAAGAAACTTTTCTTATTATAATCAATATTGAAAACAGTTGTGTTGTTTATACTTTTTGTGGAAACTATGATTAATATTTTTCAGGATTCGTTTTAATAGAAAGGTCAAAAGAACTGTATTCATTTGAAATAGAAATCTTTTGTAAGATTATAAATGTATTTACTGTCTATGATCAATTGAATGAGTCCTTGCTGAATAAAAGTTGTGCTTGTTTATATAGTAGCGGTGAGATGTTTGATTATTTATAGTTAATAAAAGCTCTACGTTGTTATACACAAATTGACTTAAGTAGGAGTTGTCTGTGTTTACTAATCTAATTATGCCAACTGATATGATTCCTGTGGTTGGTATCTCTCACCCAATATATTGTTATGCTTTAAATTAATTTCAGAAAGTAGTAATCATGTCATTTAACTTTAAAATACTATGGTGATCAGTTGTAGCATCCTGTATTTGATGTAATCACTAGTAGAATTAAAGGTTTATTAAAAATTTTAAACACTACCATCAAATTACAGTCTCATTCCACTATTTTGTACTGATAAATTAGAGCATTACTAAAAATACAAGTATCGGTATTAGTGAGAACCAAAACTAGGTGTCAATACTTGCACTCAGTCTCTAAAATATTACCTGTGCATCCCTATTTTATACAACCCTACAACTAATTTAACTTAGATGCACAATAATATGCAGATCAAAAATCAGCCCATTCTGAAAACCTGACTATGCAAAAAAAACCTGTTTATACAAGAAATGATTTTGTTTTGACATCAACAGTAATTCACATGAGGCATGTGCATATGCCACTAGAATGTTGGTAAAGGTGTTTACATGCACAGTGAAACTGGGGTAATGGGTAAAAAATCTAGCTGTGCAAGTTTTTTTTTTTTTTTGCTTAAAAAGTTCTTAAGCAAAAAATCTTTAAAGGTAATGGGTAAAACTCTAGTTTTGCAAGTTGTTTTTTTTTTGCTTAAAGGGGTCATATGATGCGATTTCAAGTTTTCCTTTCTCTTTGGAGTGTTACAAGCTGATTGTGCATAGATAAGATCCCTGAAGTTGCAAAGACTAAAGTCTCAAATCCAAAGAGATATTCTTTATCAAAGTTAAGACTCTGCCATCTTTAAAAAAGCATCATATGACCCCTTTAAAAAGTTCTTAAGCAAAAAATCTTTAGCAGGTTGTAACACTGTGACGAGAGGGGCGGGGCCGAGAGCCGTGGGAACGGAGTGAGGTCGGTGGAGTAAATGCTAATGCACGACACCTGCGCCACTCACCGGAAGGATAAAAGGAGCCTGGTCCTCTCTCCTCCAACACTGTCGTCACTCCTCCTTTTATCCTTCCGGAGCTCCTCCGTGGGACTCGAGACCGGTGAGTGGCGCAGGTGTCGTGCATTAGCATTTACTCCACCGGCCTCGCTCCGTTCCCACGGCTCTCGGCCCCGCCCCTCTCGTCACAAACACGTTATGTTGTATAAGGTTAATGAGATAATCAGTTTAAGATTGTGGATATAAATGCATTCAGCAACTCCGGAAATCTGGATCTAGTACTTCTGCTTCTGCTGTGTGCAGTAGCTGAACTCTGACACAGTGGCTTAATATCATTTCCCTCCCATTACAAGTCGACTTGACTTATGGGGATAATTATTGACTCTAGGTCCAGCACGGCTAATCATTACAGTCTACACAAGCAGCTGGACACATTTCACAGCACCTATGTGTGGAAAACCCTGCACATACAGTGAGAAGCGTCAAGGTTTGTTTTGCACAGTCCCCGAAAAAGCAGCTCTATTGTTATAAGTGGGAGTCAAAAGATATCTGAGACTGTGGGGCGACTGGTAGAGCTTATTTATGATGGTGTGGTAATAGAGTGAGGGGGTTTAGGGAGTTACTTAGAAGCCAGTGTCGTTTCAAAACAATAGTAGACTTCTGGGTGAAACAGGACTTGCACGCTGCAACAAGTTGAGCAGGTTAGGCCTGAATCTAGCTTTCAGTTCTCTTTCAGTCTGTAAGAGAAGAGGCATGGGGTTCGATAGAAGACCTGTCACACTTGATCCATTCACCTGACTGCACAAACACACGCTTAAGATGAAGATCAGGATTCTGGAGTCATCTGAACTCAGAATATACACAGAACAAACCAAAACACACGAGCATGACAGCATGCTTCCATACGCACATACTATACAGTGGCCTAGAAAGTATTTGAATACTTTTGCCACAATTAAATATGTATGAAAGTATTTGCATGGCCTAACAAAAAATATGAAAATCAAATTAAAAAAATATATATTTTTTAAACTTGGGTTTCAAAATGTGAAATGATAAATACACTAACGTTCAAAAGTTTGGGAACAGTAATATTTATTTTTAAATAAATTAATACTTTTATTCAGCAAGGACACATTAAATCAAACATGTTTAATGTCACAAAATATTTCGATTTCAAATAAATCCAGTTCTTCTGAATTTTTAAAAATTAAAAAAAAAACTGAAGGAAATCAGTTTCCATAAAAAAACACTGCAAATGCTTTCAGCATTGTTAACAATAAGAAATGTTTCTTGAGCACCAAATCAGCAAATTAGAATGATTTCTGAAGGATCATGTGACGAATAGAGCAAGCTTTGCATCACAGGAATAAATTACATTTTAAAATATATTCAAATATGAAAAGAGCTATTTTAAATTGTAATAACATTTCATAAACACACTGATTTTTTTTTAATCAAATAAATGCAGCCCTGGTGAGTATAAGAGACTTTTTTCAAAAAATAAACTTTTGAATTGTAGTGTATATTGTTCAAAAACTTTGGCTATTTTCTGGTCGTTTTAAGCTTTGCGGAACACGTTTACTTTGTGATCTTGAAAAGAACTGACTTGACTTAAAACACAACTTGACTTGAAACAGTGACCTCTGGACCAGTTGGTAAAAAATAGCTCAGAAAAGTGAAGTTCTGTGTGAAGCTCCAGCAGCATTTGTTTGCAAATGCCACTTTATCTGATATATTGTATCTAATGCAATAAAATTCAGACGTCGTAAGTGTTCAGATACTTTCAGGGGCCACTGTATGTAACATAACTAGGCGTCCTGAGGCTCAAATGCTACCTTTATTCCCAACCAGGTTTTCGTAAAAGAATACTAACACACTGAGTTCAGACTGACTGGCTATTCCTACATCTCAGTCTTTCCATCTGCGCACTGCCAGCAACCCACACAGTCATCTCTCAACCCTCTCCTTGCATTCTCTTAATTTTCCACCTTCATCCCTCCCTTGCCTTCATGCCCGGGATCAAAGGCGCAGACCTCCAAAAACCCAAATCCCCTCCTTGAGACCTGGCCTGTGAAGCTGGTTGGACAAAGACAGTTCCTAAACATAAAGAAACTACAAGTTGACGTGCCTAATAACAAAGATTTCTAGCACCAAAACCAGGGTTTTCAGGTCAACGATGAAGGGCGGTTTCGTAGAAAACAACAAACGTGACTGTGATGTACCTGATTGATTTCATCCATCCCATTACTGGCGAACTCAAAGACAAGCTCGCTGGACTGGACCGCAGTGGTCATGGTGTTGTAGGGAGAGAAAGGGTAGGACACAGGCTGACAGGCAGAGGGTTCCTACCCCTCCACGCACTCCCCGGACCGCTTCGCTCCACACCACACCCCTCGGCACAGGAAGCACTCTGAGGCAGGAACACTGCTTTCACAAAATGAGAGGCACTGTTAGGTAAAAACAGAGTTCTCTTTTTTGGTCCTGCACGCTTCTGATTTTTTTCCTCCAGATGACAGTAGAGTGGCGGAGGACTGCGTGATGGAGGAGGATTCTTCTCACTCCAACTGCGTCTGGGGCATCTAAACCTTCAAGAGAGAAACAGAGGAAAAGGAACATTAGGAAACTGCGACTGAGCAAAGTGGGCTGTGTCACATCATCAGAGAGGGCTGGGATGGCCGGACGAGCCTGAGACGGTACCGTTGGGACTGAGACGAGGGGCTAACTTTCTGACTCTATAAAGCGTTCGCTCACTGCTGGAGAGACTTTCGACTCACCGATCTCATTTTTGGCTTCGAACCACACAAAGCTGCCCCAAAGTCAGACTCTGAGAAAGTCTGGCCAGGCAGAATGAAAATGGGCGAGTGGAAAATAAACTCCACTTTCCAGTAAATTCATCACTGGCCACTTAACTTTTTCTCACTTTGACTCCTGTTTACCCTCTGAGATCACAACAACACAACTGTTGCATTACTCTGTCACTCTGTATTCAGTAAGGATGCACAATATATCAGTGTCATATCAGTTATCATTCAATTATTTCAAAAAATAAATATATTTTAAATATAATTTTTCAATATTTTAAATATATTAATTCAAATATTTAAAAGCTATTTAAAAATCATATGACGCTGATAATTAAAATTATATATATATACTGTATATATATATATATATATATATAACTTCATTATTTTATATATGTATATTTATATATGTATATGCATACACTTAATTTCGCAATGAATACAATTTTTCATACTGTACATTGTAATGTATAAATTCACATTTAAAACCATTAATTTGAGTTTTTAATGTTTTTTTCAGCTTATATGTATAAGACAGAATTTACATATTGCATTCACACTATTCTTTTTGCGAATAATCAACATAAATCAACAAAAGCTGGAAAGTGGAGTTTATTTTCCACTCGCCCATTTTCATTCCGACACTTGGTCTACAAGGTTCAGATGTAATATAAAAGTGAACCTCTTCAGTGGCAGTGTGGAGGAAGGGGGAGGGGCATGGATTGCCACAGGATATGAGATCAGCCAGCCTGATCAAAGGGGTACTGTAAACAAGGTTGGGTTATCAGTCACATGAGTGAAAAAAGGCCCAGAACACACCCTCATCCAAAGTCCACATCCACTCCGCACACTAAAGCCAGCTAAACTACAAAAACACAAGAATCACAGGCCGTTGAGAGTAAAGAGTACCCTCTGTCCGGCCCTGAGGCGGCAAGGAGGAACAGGAGGGAGGGGCTGCAGTCTGGTTAAAGATTAAACGAGAGCAGTGGGGAGAGGAGAGGTGGTTTGGCCGAACCACTGAAGGGGGGTGTAAAATGGCAGCAGAGCAGCCCATGTCTCCTCTGTGGCAGGGTGGGGCTTGTTTGCTTTGAAAGGACAGTGTGTGTGTCAACAAGTGCATACCAGGTTGAACGGTGTCTGGGGGATTGGGGTTGCTGGAGTGGGTGGGTAAAGGGTATAATGGGGGCAGATAGAGAGAATAGGAAAGATAGGCCCATGTGGGTGGCAGGGAGGTCAAACAAATGTTCTGTTTAGCTCGGACTGTGCCCAAGACCCCTGAAGCAGCTGGACTCCCATAGTCAACATGGGGTCTCGTATGGCCTTAGGGCCTTTCGCACCGCGGGAACCTTTTCATAGTACCAGAACTAATTGTGGAACTACCCACTTTTTGGCGTTTTCGCACCGCCGGAACTGGGTGCTTTTTTAGTACCGGACTGCCTTTTTCGAGAACCAAATTAGCTCCTACTCCGGAGCAGGGTCTAACCAGCACAACTGGTACTCCCGGTGACGTAAGTAGACACTGATTGTCCAAACGCGTACGAAAATGCCCTCACCCGCCATGATTTAAAACGCCGTGTAAACATACTGTAAACATTGTGTCAACTTATTTCGCAAGTATGGAGAACAGCGATAGATGGACGGACGCTGAAGTGCAGGCACTTGTAGCAAATGTAGCACTGCCAGTTGTCGTTGGAGATTCTTAGTCCTCCTTCCCGTTCTTTCAATCGCTTTACGTATACGTCGACATTCCATGTCCATTATTGTGAAACCCGCGAGACACAAAAACACAGCTCCGATCACAGCGTCCTCCATCCTCCTGTTGTTAACGTTGTTCTAATTTGTTTCCGTTGTTGAACGCCGCGCACAAATGACGTCGCTGTCGACCGGCTTACGTCACTTCCTGGTACACACTGTTGCGAAGGCAACCCTTTAAATGGTACTGGAAAATAGTTCGCACAAAATCGTCCCAGTACTTTAGTACTGTACATTTAGTTCTGGAACTAAAGCGGTGCGAAAGGCCCTCTTGTCTTTCCTGGAGAGCAAGGAACAGGATGAGGTATGCCATGACAGAGAGGCCCAGCCTATTATTACCACTAACCAGACAGCCCCCCCAAGAGCCCTTCGGCCCTGCCTCCCTTCCCACAGCATGGGGCCAACATCTGGAGCACCCTGCTGAAGGTTCCCTCTCCCTGGCTTTGGTCAAGACAAGCTCTTTGAACCAATTATTTATTTTCTTGCCATCACAATGCTCTGGGAGTTGCTACGTGGTTGCTAGGGTGTTCTGGGTGGTTACATCAAATCAAAAGAATTTGATCAAGACTTCTAGGTAGGGTATATTAAAAGAGATATTAAAATTCTATCCAAAACCAATAAACCAATAATTACTGTATAGCTTTATGTTATGGCAGATAACCAAGAAATGGCTCATATTATAATTCTAAATTATTTTGTCTAAAGATTTTTAAAAAAAAAAGAAAATGTTATAATTTACATTATAATGTACAGCATAAAATACGCATAATCATTTTGAGATTTGCTAAAGATTACATTTAACAGTGTTATGTTAAATAAAAACAGATGAAATGAGCCTGTAAAATTAAATATCCAATATCGGCCCATACATATGTAATATAGACTACAGTTCAAAAGTTTGGAGCCAATAAGATTTTTTGTGATTTTGAAAGAAGTCTCTACAGTAAAAATAGTTACAAATAGTAATAATATTTCACAATATGACTGTTTTAATATATTTTAATATATAATTTATTATAATTTATTATTTATATAATTTTAAACGGTCATTACTTCAATCTTTAGTGTTTTATTTGATGCTCAACCAACATTTCTTCTTATTATAAATGATGAATACAGTTGTGCTTAATATTTTTGTGGAAACTGTGATAATTCTTTAATGAATAGAAAGATCAAAAGAACATTATTTATTTGAAATAGAACTCTTCTGTAATGTTATAAATGTTTTTACCATCAATTTTGATCAGTTTAATGCAAAAAATATATCTATCTATCTAATCAGCTGATACATCATGTATGCCTATTTTCTTTTTTCTTTTTTTCTAGATGCTTAGGTCTCTCTATCAGTGTCTCAGGTAATCTATGGTGTATTTTAGAGCATTTTATATCAAATAAAATACACATTATCTCAATAAACCACACAATTTGAGGTATCACCCAGATCTGTAGCATCACCAGTGCTAGACATGATAATCACAACTACAGTGATACCCCTGGTAAAATAAGACCACACACAGAGTGGGTCATGCCTACCTCTGCAGTCTGGGAAAGAACTCGCCCATGAAGTCTCCGTAGCGTTAGCCAGGGGTCAGAAGTAGCCAAGCGAGAGCATGGCTGAGTTCTGCCTCTTCTTTTACAGACTAGCTCAAAATGGCCTCATGTCATTCTCAGTTCTTCTTTTCAGTTCAAAAAGCTCTCTGTACCTCAAACTGCAGCTGCGTACGCGAGCTATGAATATGAAATTCTATTAGACAATCTTGCCATGGTCTACAGCCCTGCTTTTGAGTAATGAAGTCATTCACACCATTTGACGGTGATGTGCTGGCAAATGAAAGCGTGATATGGGATTGATGGGAACATTTCACACAGAGAGATGAGCCTGGTGGGGAGCAAAATCGTGCAAATCTGTGATTGCGTGCATCACGCCGCTCTCCACGCTGATTCCCAGTGGTATATAACGAGACCTCGTGCCAGGCACACAGCAAGTGATCTGCGCCACCGTGACTGCAGCCTGGGAATGATACAAGTGGATGCGACAACACTTGCCTTGTCCCAACACACGCACATGCAAATGGCCCAAAACAAGGGCCTGCCGCACGTCATCCAGAGAAGCCGAGAGGGAGGGAGAGTTACTCAGTACTCAAGACTTCAGTAAGCAAACACTCTCCAGGGTGGGGCTCACATGGAATCACTCCATGGCTGAGGTCTGCCAAGGATACACGCTCAGCAAGCAAGGTAAAACTATGAGATGTACATGAAAAACGCCCGCCCAAGTCTCTAACTGTCCTAATGCAGCAGCTGGTATGGGTCTGGCAAAGCGCCTAGTCTGTGTTGTCAAAACAAGTAAATATATAGCAAGATGCTGACTAAAATGTTGGATGGAATAACCAGTTTTGAGGGGAGAATGATTTCGAATGAATACATCTTACCCTGTTGACCCTGTCGACCCACCCGCCCCTGTAGAGTCCTCAGCTGAGCTCAGTGTTGACCATGAAAGGAGGTCATTTAAGCCAACCAAATGACTAAGCCATGAGTCACCCTGACAATGGAATTTAATCGCGGGGCAAGCGAATTCAAACATGAATGATCATCTAACGTAGGTGAGTGGTTTGAGGGGAAAGATCATGGATTCAAGATGTGGTATGCTCGTGAGTTGTCATATTCTGATGGCGTCACAGGGATGGATGGAGATGGAGGTTTTGGAGAGGGCGAAGTCGTCTCTAGTTACTCTGTGGGGAGTGATGTCATGGCAATAGTGATGTCAACGCATGTGAGAAAAACTAGTCTTGAGTGCCTCTCAAAATAGCTTGGGATACTAGGGCTTTCAGAGAGACACTGACTAAGAGAAAGCAAGAGGAATGTGAAGCTCTTTTCCTGCTTGGTCAGGAAGGAGGACTGGCATTCCTGGCATTTCAGAACATGCCAGTCCCAAGCGTTTTTAGTGAAAACAGTCCACAACACTGGCTCCACTATAAAAATGTGACATTAAAACTCCTCCAGTGAGCTAGTGAACATTTATGTGTGTCTTG